GTGTATATGGGTATATGTGTGTGACTCTGGGGGATGTTTGTGTGTGGGGGGTTATGTGTGTGTGTGTGTGTGTGATGTGTGTGGAGAGTGTGTACATGTGGGTGTGTGTGAGTGTGAGTATGTATGTATGTATGGGGAGACATGAGTATGTGGGAGGAGTATGTGTGTATGTGTGGCATGTATGTATGGTGACTGCATGTGTATGAGTATTTGCATATAACTACGTATGTGTGTAGATGATGTATTATGTGTGTAGGGTATTTGTGTATGTGTAGGATGTGTGTGAAGACTGTATTGTGTGTGTATGAGTATGTATGTATGTGGGGGGGATGTGCGTATGTGAGGGAGTATGTTTGGGGTGTGTCTGTATGTGCATGGTGTGTATGACCGTGTATGTGTGTGTGATGTATGTATGTGTGGTGTGTGTGTGTGTGTGTGTGTGTGTGTGTGTGCCTCAGAGAAGGCAGTCTCTCTATCATGTGGGTCCCAGGGATTGAACTCAATTCCTCATATTTGACAGCAAGCACCTTTACTTTCTAAGTCATCTTTCTGGCCCTATTTTCTACATTTGAACTGACTTTTGCTATGTTGTGATATAGTTTGTGATGTAGTTTCTGATATGCTGTGGCTTGCAATTTTGTTGTCAATTCCCTTGCAAGGTAGATGACTTGCCAAAACAGTGGGGCTCAGCTGCTAAGACTATCTACTGCTCTTGCAGAAGACCTACGTGCAGTTCCCAGTGTCTGTATATGGCAGCTCCGTAGGATCTGATGTCCTCTTCAGATGTCTGTGGACACAGTCACACACACACACACACACACACACACACCATTTTAACATTTTGTCCCATTTTGTTCATCTTCCTACTTTTTCCTTATCCTTTCTCCTATCGAATGATCTCACCGTCACGTTTGGGAAGCCAGCTGTAAATTGGCAGACAGCACTGAAACAATGCTAGCCAACTTCATTGCATCCCAACCTCCATGTGGGATCTGATCCTGGACCCTGAGTTCAATTCCATTGATTCATATTGCTCCCCTTGTCAGCAATTTTTCCCCAAGACAGGGTTTCCATGTGAAACAGTCCTGCTGTTCTGTAACTCACTGTGTAGACCAGGCTGGCCTTGAACTCATAGAGATCCGCCTGTCTCTGCCTCCCAAGTGCTGGGATTAAAGGCATAACCTACCATGGCTCAACTGTTGAAGGCTAGGCTCACAACCAAAAATTGTGTCAGTATTTTCCTATCCTGATTCCTTGAGCCTTCCAGTTATCAGGAATTGGAAAGTAGGAGTTCTCACCTGTGTCCTTGTTGTCAAGGTTGTTTTGTCTTTATGTAACCGTAGGTTTCCATAGAAATTCTATAAAAGTTATGTCCATTCTGGCAAAGAAACAGAGGGGGGCAGTGACTGATCAAACCTTCAGTAGTGTTTTTCCTGTTTTTTAGTTGTGGAGCCTATGCCTGAGGAGGATGATGGTGTTCCATCAGTGATTCCCTGTATTAGTCCTTCAAGGCACAGAATGTCTCAGTGAACCTAGAGCTAGGCTGGTGGCCAGTCAGATCCAGACTTTCCTCCCCAGTGCTGGGGCTACAGGTACACAAACAACACACTGGCCTTCTCTAGGAGTGCTGGGAATTCAGGCTCGGGTCCTCACATCTGCCACAGAAAGTGCTTTTGCTGCTAGAACCACCTCCCTTAACTGTCTCATCCCCGTGCTGTGGTGGCTTAAATGGGCTCTGCCCCTGGCTTGCACTTGCTGGTGTTTTGTGGGGACATCAGAGGGTGGTCTTGCTGACGGAGGTGTGTGCTGAGGCCTCACCATACTCTTTGTTTGCTCTCTGCTTCTTACTAGCAGTTGAGGATATGAGCCCTTGGCCTCCTTCCATGGTCCCCCTGTCTGCTGCTGTGACTTTCGCCACCATGGACTCTGACTCCTCAGAAACTTGTAGACCAAACAAACTCTTTCTTTCTTGGTCAGTGTTCTGTGTTTTAATCACAGAGATAGAAAAGTAACTAGCACGTGTGGCCTCTGCCCAGTTAACACCGAGGTCACTCTGTGGGTAAAGTGGTCCTTAAATGGCTTAGACGTATCTTTCCCAGTTGCCACAGGGGCATTTCTGCCTCTGTGTAGAGACACACCTTCAACATCAAGAACTTTGTGTTTCTCTTTTTCTGTCACTCACTTCTTGTGCAGAGACTCGAGGCCAATCAAGGGGAGATAAAAAAAAAAAACTCTTCCCAAGTCCTTTCTCAGTAGACATATGCCTTGGGTATGGTCTTCTAGTATCCCGGAAGTGTCAAGGGTCTTTTCAAAGTATTTTGCTGTCATTGTCAACCAACTTTGTAAGCTTTTGCTCCCTCCATGCTTAGCTCACTGGGAGACTTGGATGTTACATATTTACCTGTAACCAGGTCCGTTCACGGTGAGGTCTTTGAGTCAAAAGAGACGTATTATCCTCTCTCAGTAGAGCTTTGCTGGGAATCGAGGAAGGAGCTGGCTGGGGAGGCTTGCGAGGGTCTCCAGAGCCACACTGCTGCTTCGGCATTAGCTGAGCCCCCCAGGGTGTAAGGCTCTCCTTCCTCCAGGTATTAGCAGAGCCTTCCAGGGTGTAAGGCTCTCCTTCCTCCAGGCATACTATTTTTAAAGGTTTCCTTGAAACTGGGGCAAAAGCTAGGAATTCTGAAGTTGAAGCACCATGAAACTCAAGGTTTCTACTGAGTTTTTTGTTTCATTTTTTTTTTTTAAGTATTACCTGAGATGCTTTTCAGGATCATGAGGAAGAGATCTTGACATCTTTTGCCATGTTGTCTGTGTTCCTGTGGAGGAGTGGAGCTTACAGGTTGTTGTATGATCTCCTTTCTATTTTTATTTTAAATTTGGGTTTTCTCTTAGGGCAGATGAGGCTAGAACAGCATGTGGAAATGCCTGGGACACAATGAGCACCAGATTAATTTGGGATAAGGAATTTCTAGATGAAGGAAATGGGTTGATTTCACCATTGCTCCTTTGTGTAAGTTTTCACTGGTGCAGTGTGATACGCCACTATGGGAGCTGGAGAGAGTAGCTGGGTTCTGTGAAACTGTGGTGTCTGGTTTTCTATCCCATAGCAGATAAGGAAAACACATGTTAGAGCGGACAGACAGATGGCTAGCAGTGTGAGGTAAGATTTTGATATAAGGAAATCAGATGGATGGTCAGTGAGGATGCGCAGGTCACCCGCAGGCATCACTTTCCATAGGCTGTGTCTATGTTCAAATGGAAATGCTGATTTGTGTTCATATTCTTTGCTTTTTGCAACTGATAATGCCTCATGTATCTTAGCAATTCTTTCTGTCAAAGAATTGGTACAGTGTTTAAGGTCTGATACTTAAAATTGTAGACTGCATTTACTCAGCACATTTGTGGCAAGAGATATTCTACATACAAATGATATTATAATGAGACACTTCTGTCTCCTTGGTGACAAATTCCACTGATGGAAAAGATTCAGTAACAATCCAACTCCATGCATCGTGGGCATCACAGCCTCTTACAAGCTGGGGTGTCAACAGTGTACAGTTTCTGTGAAGACACAGGGGGAAACATGATTCACCTTCCCGAAAACAGAGCCTTGGTGCACAGCAGTTTTGTTTCCGCACTCCCTGTAGTAAGTCCTTCAGGTTTGTAAGTAATGCCAGAACCTCTATACAGAGCAGAGCTCACATCAGTCTGTTGCTGCACACATCATATGTGAGGTTTCTAGCTACACGAGATGCTAAGGGCTAACTGATCTCTTCAGAATAAGGTCTGGTCAACACCTGTGTTATCTCAGGACACTATGAGGTCAGGTCATTGAACATGTCACAAAAGCAGAGGGAGATCGAGAGTGAACTGTTGAAGGAGTCTCAGAAGCCGAATGGAGCAGGATTCCCCATGCAAATGGCGAAACGTGGGTTCAGAGAGCAGTCCACTTAAAACCCACTTGGAACGTGGGCCCCATCAGCTGACTTTATGGAAGCTGGTTTGATGGAAACATGTAGGGGATCAAGGAGCCACTTGTAGCAAGAAAAACAGCAAAACTTCAAGAGTTTCGTGTTGCATGTGGCCTAGATAAGAGGCCACTCTTCAAAGCCCACATACAGAGCCCACTTCAAAGGCCTATATTACAGATGGTAATTCGAAGGCTTCCTAAGACCCCCATCAAATCATAGGATGCTCGACTGGGCTGAATAGCACACATGGGCCAATGTCTTCCACCAAAAAAAAAAAAAAGTCATCCTGGTGTGGGGGGATCCTGAGGGTTTTCTATTGAGGTGCTACATAAGGAAATGCGGTTCAAGAACACCATTGTCAAAGGGTGTACTTAGAAATGTAGGGTAGCTACTGATGTTAGGATGTACCAGAGAGTTACATGGAGGGGCAGCCAGACACCTTGCCAAATCAGAACTGTTTCCCTGAGATGATCTTTCTCGATTCACTCAGTGATAAAACCCAGAAACATCATGATGACGCTGAACTACGTATGAGTGGCATGTCCCTCCTGAGAGAAAGGCGTCAACACCCTAAAGTTCCTGGATAAAAACTATCATAAACTGACACCCGAACATGACAAACTGAGTTTGGTCTCCAGCATCCACATAAAAGCAGAGCCTGGCAGCATGAGCTCTAATCCAAGAGATAGGCGGGTAAAGACAGGAGGCTTCCCTGGGGCTCCCTGGAAATCCCTGGGACTCTCTGGGGCTCCCTGGGACTCCTGATTTCAATGAGAGAGGCTGTCTCAAAAAATATGGTGGAGAAGTTATTTAGGAAGATGCATAGTGTCAACATTTGGCCTCTATATACACACCTCCACAGGCACCTTAGGACACACACACACACACAACTGTAGCTGGGGTGTCATAGATTTTGCAAATACTTTATAATTTCAGTGCTAACCCTAAGGCTGCTTTTCAACTATGAGGCACCTAGTGCCAGTGTGGGTTACCATTTAGCTATTATAACTCTGTCATTTCTTCTTGCAGTGTCTTGGCAGGCTACAATGGTACCATCTTTGCATATGGGCAGACAGGCAGTGGCAAGACCTTCACCATCACAGGTGGGGCTGAGCGCTACAGTGACCGAGGCATCATCCCAAGAACTCTGTCTTATATTTTTGAGCAGTTGCAAAAGGTAAAGAAGAAAGAGTTCCCATTTTATTTGATCTATTCAGCAGAAATGCACCATCTCTTTTTTACACTGTGCCCACTGGAAATATGCTATTGTGGAATAGCACCAGCGTCTACATTCAAGGAGGTTTGGACTTTGCTGGAGGAGTGGAAATATAGAAGGTGCTTCTCATACCAGGGCTGGGACTTCATCAAGGGCTGGGGCTCCATTCAAGATGCCCACAGACTTAGAGAGAGCTTTTGGTGGAGTAGGAGCTGGTGTAATGGATGCAGTGGGGCTGGGTGTGTGAGTGTGCATGTACATGTGTGTGAATATGCATGTGTGGGAGTGTGCATGTGTGTGAGCATGCATGTGTGGGTGCGTGCATGCGTGTAAGTGCATTGTGTGAATGTGTATTGTGTGAGTGTGTATTGTGGGAGTGTGCATGTGTCAGAGCATGCATGTGTGTGACTGTGTATGTGTGTGAGCATGCATGTGTGGGTGCGTACATACGTGTAAGTGCATTGTGTGAATGTGTATTGTGGGAGTGTGCATTGTGGGAGCATGCATGTGTGTGACCGTGTATGTGTGTGAACTTGCATGTGTGAGCATGCATGTATGTGAACATGCATATGTATGAGTGTGCATGTGTGTGAGCATGCATGTGTGGGTGCGTGCATGAGTGTAAGTGCATTGTGTGAATGTGCATTGTGGGAGTGTGCATGTATCGGAGCGTGCATGTGTGTGAGCATGCATGTGTGGGAATATGCATGTGTGGGACTGTGTATGTATGGGAGTGTGCATGTGTGTGAGCATGCATTTGTGTGAATGTGCATGTGTGTGAGCATGCACATGTATGAGCGTGCATTTATGCATGCATGTATATGTGTGAGTGTGCATGTGTGGTATCGTACACGTGTGTGAATTTGCATGTATGTGAACGTGCATGCGTGTGAGCATGTATGTATGGGAGTGGTGCAGAAGTTGATGTTTGAGACCTTCTATTGTTCTCCACTGATACTGTTCTGTTTCTGTTTTTTGAGCTAAGGTCTCACTAATTTGACTGGCTCATCAGTGAGCTCTGGGGTGTTTTCTCCCCCAGCCCGGCATTAGGGTTACTGCCATTCACCACCATATCCAGTTTTTCACATGGATTCTGGGGATCTGAACTCGGATCTGCTGCTGCCACAGCCAGCACTTCATCCACGGAGCCATTTCCCCACTCAGATCACATCTTTTACCAGCTAGTATCTTAGACTCTGCAGTTGGAAACCCTTTTACTAAGACAAATCTTTTTCTGTCCCCTAAAATACCAAACCAATCAGACGGCATGATTGTCAGTTTGCCATGGTAATAATAGAAGCTGGAGGAATTTGTCAGAATACAAACCCTACTGCAGTGAACATAATCATATTCTCGAGGCATTCCCTCTCTCTCCTGTATATGTTACCTCCTTATGAATGTTTTGCCCATGTGTGTCTGTGTATTATGCATATGCCTGATGCCCACAGAAGGCAGAAGAGTATGTTAGATTCCCAGGAACTAGAGTAAGGTTGGTGTGAGAAACCATTTGGGTGCTGAGAATTGAACCCAGGTCTTCTGAAAGTGCAAAAAGTGATCTAAGGCACTGAGCCATCTCTCCATGTGGGGCTTTTTAATATAACATATATTGTAACTAGCAAACTGTGCATCTTGATTCCCCTCTTAGAGTTGGAAAAAGTGAGCCTCCATTGAGATACTTTTCTCTGGGTCCGCTTTTTACAATAGCCAGCCCGCAACTCTGGAAGCCAAACTGCTTCCCTGTAGTTGAGATTGGCTTTGTTTCATTGGCTGTGTTTGAATCCATTTCCTGTGATGAGTCACTTAACTTCTGTGGGTTTCTGCTTTCCATTTTCTGAGAGCAAGGGCTGAACTGTTCTGGAAGCTCTCCGCCTCCCTCCCAGCTCCAGCGAGTCCTTGGACTCTGTATAAACGTCTAACTGGCTTGCTGCGGCAGTCATTCTGGAACTCCCTGCTGAATGTTATTTGCATTTTGAGTTGCAAAGACTAGAAGAAATTGCTGAGAGCTGCATAATTCTAATTGCCATCCGTAAAACAGCAATTATCCATTAGTTCAGCTCTTCTCTCACTGGCCCCAGAATGCCAACTGTGTGAGCTGGAGAAAGCGAAGGAGGAAGGGCTGAGAAGCGAGTTCACACCGTGTAGCCCTGACTCTACCTGTTTTGCCTTGTTCACACATTTCACAAACAGGACTATGATCTCCAATGGTTTTCGTTGCCATGGACCAATGAGGAAAGCTGTCATCCTAGAAGAACTGTGTGCCCTGATGGCATGTGGCTTTATGTCTCAGTGGCATGGAACTCCTGTGGGTGGCAAACATGGTGTTTTAAGCTCTTGGGCTGGAGGATGGTGCAGCAGTGAAGAGTGTGCTCTGCTCGTGCAGAGAGCTCGAGCTTTGTTCTGAGCACCCATAAAGGCAGCTCTCAGCTGCCTAAAACTCCAGCTCCAGGGAATCAACGCCCTTTTTCAGTCTCATGCATGCACCCACAGAGACAAACGTAATTTAAAATAATAAAAAAACAACTCTTTAAACTTCTTGGCACACTGAGAATGCTTAGTTCATGATCATTATTACCATACCATTAATGTCTGTACATGCAAACACTTAGCGATTGCTACCATATTCATCAATATTCATATATGTCCATTGGCCTAAAGATAACTGGCTAGTTTTAGAAAACCTTCTGAAGCTCTCGGACTCAATGAAGCCAGTTTCCCTGGCTAGGCTGAATAGAATAAACCAATCTTCTCCTAATGAAAAGCACATTTGTCTCTTCTAAGATCTCCATGGTAACCCAAGAGCACCTCGAGAAGTCTTAGCTCTCCAGGCACTGACCATCGTCAGGGTTGTTGGGAGATAGCCTTGTCATTGATGTCACTCTAAACCTTGTTCAGTTCTGAATCATCCCAAGTAATTCCCTGGACTTGGAGAAAGCCCACCCGACCAACTGACAGCCAGGGAAACTGAAATGGACCGGTTTCTGCCATGGGCCACACATGTTCATTGTAATCATAGTGGATTGTACTAATAACAAGCCGGGAAACTTAAAGTGTTGCATGAACTGTGGCCACAGTGGAGACTAGAAAACATAGACTGGAGCCAGAGGCTCTTCGAGTTGTCCTAGATCAGAGAGCTCAGCGTGAGACCAAAGCCAAGTCCTTCAAGACAAACTAAGTGCCCAGTGCAGTCTGTGTTGTGAAAGCCTGGAGTGAGCCCGCATTTCCGCTGGACTGGGAGTATTCCATCTGTTTCAGGACTCCTTCTCCTCACACTGGAGCATCGTGAGGTTCACCATTGTTTGGGTCAGAAGAAATGCCTGTCTGCAGGAAACACGTGTGTTACATTACAGTCTGACAACCTAGATGCTGAAAAGGACTAAGAAAGGTAGCTTGTCACATCACTCAGTGAGATTGGAGTGTGTGTGCCAGAAAAACTGCAGAAGCAAGAACCCTGGAGGAGCCGAGGCGTTGTCCTTACCACCGGGATGATGGGCTGGCCATTTCCCCGATTATTTTTCCTAGTTCTAAAGAAGAGAGTGTCCCATTACAGATGGTGGCTCAAGTTCACTCTTCTTTTCTCATGTCCATTCCTTTTATATTCTTGTATTATTTTAGCTACTTTGACCAGGGAAGTAACAAAATACCAACAAAAACAGCTTAAAGTGGGGTGTATTTTGCCTCAGTATTTGAGGATATAAGTACTCTGTGTGGGGAGGGCGTGGTTGTGGGAACATGTCCTGACTGGTCACGTTGTGTGCACAGTCGGAAGGCAGAGGGACGAATGCTAGTGCTCAACCTTTTCCTCTCAGTTGAGGACCCCTGCCCCTGGGAAGGTGCCATCCATGTTCGGGAAGGTTTTCCTTCTCCAGTGACTCTTCTCTGGAAACCCATCATACTTAATTCTCCATTTGCAGGCTTCCAGACATAATACTTGAAAACATTTATCAACAGCAGGAACAATAGCAACAGCCACGTAGTTCATTGGTTCCCAGGTACTTTTGGTACGACTTGACATGTAGACATCCTTCTTGTATGTCAGTTTTGCAAGAACAGGAGTATTTTATAGCTTGTTGTCAGCATGGAGCCATGCTTCATTTCCAGAACCCACACTGGGTGACTCCAGCTCAGGAAATCTGATGCCCTCTTCTGGCCTTTGTGGGTACCTGAACTCATGCACACGTGTGCATGCGCGCGCACGCGCACACACACACACACACACACAGAGAGAGAGAGAGAGAGAGAGAGAGAGAGAGAGAGAGAGAGAGAATAATAAGTCTTTTAAAGAAGAATATAAAATTCTGAGTAGTAGGAAAGGAAAGGAAATTACGTTTTGTTTAAGGAGGCCATTCAGCAGCTCAGACCCAAAATAATTACACAGACTATATTATTTAAAACACTGCTTGGCCTATTAGCTCTAACTTCTTATTGACTAGCTCATACATTTTAATTTACCCATTTTTAGTAATCTGTGTATTGCCACCTGGCTGTGGCTTACCAGGTAAAGTTGCTGGTAAAGGCTCCACCTTCTTCCTCCCAGAATTCAGTTTAGTCCCGTCCCCCCTCTATTCCCTGTGCAGGCTCAAGACAGTTTCTTTATTAACCAATGGTATTCATAGCATTCAGAGGGGAATCCCACATCATAGTATGATCATGAACGGAAACTTTGGCTCCTGGTCTTTGAACCAAAGTAATAACCTCTGCTCTTGTATGAATAGACTGTTCACAGAATGTAAGGTTGTTTGTTTTTTATTAGTAACCTTTTTGGGGATCTGGAAAATAAAATACAATGTATTATTCATTTCTATAGCCAACTTGGCTCACTGCAAGTGTATATTGATATTTTATGTATAATGTAGAACCAATAAAAACTGATAGACTGAAATTACTTGGAATCATGAATATTGGATATACCAAAAAAGCCCCAAACACTTTATGAAGATGGCCACAGTAACTCAAAAGTGTCACAAACTGCAAATGTAAACCCTACAAAATGGAAAGGCAAAGGAGGGTGTTGTAAGGAAGCCCAGGGACAGATGGCACGTCTCTCTCCAGCCCAACAGTTTTTTTAGTCATTAAATAATGTCTTTCCCTTCTCCTCCAACAGGACAGCAGCAAGATCTACACAACACACATTTCTTACTTGGAAATCTACAATGAGTGTGGCTACGACCTGCTGGATCCGAGACACGAGGCCTCCAAACTGGAAGATCTGCCGTGAGTAGCAGGATGACAAAGGCCAGCAGGAAATGGTTTTCAGATGTTGCTTTCCATTGTTTCCTTTGAAATTTGCTGGGTTTCTGGTCTCGATTATAATTAGCAAATATTGGAGGGCAGCATCTTTCCGTAATGAGCAGGAGCGATGGGAACTAAGATTACTTGAAACTCATTTCTTGGGGGAGTCTCCGTGGGAGTCGGCACGAGAGTGCAGTGGCTGCTCTCAGTGGGCATCTCAAGACTGGGGGGCAGCACTCCCCCCATACAAAGCCACACACTTCTTTAAATGCTCCCTTCCTCCACAAACAGTGCTCAGTTTATGCAGTAGGACAGTCTGATGAGTACTATCAGAAGGTCCCCAGAGTCTTCTCTGCTGTCATTAGCACCAACATTCACAACCTTTTGATGAGATCAGCGTTCCTTGTTTTCCCTGAAATGTAGCTTTCAGACCTTTGACAGAGGACAGCCCCCTGCCAGGATCACACAGTCTTGCTGTTTGTTTGGAACCTGCCTGAGTTAGATGTAGTAATTAGTAATTGTTCATGTGCTTATTTCCAGGTGATTTTATGTATTGGAAGTTGCCTACAGCCAAGAAAAAAATGTTTTAAAGATTATTTTTTAAATTATGTGTGTGCGTGCGTGCATGTGTGCACGACACACACACATGAGTGCAGATACCAGTGGAAGCCAGAAGAGAGTGTCCAGTCTGCTGGGGCTGGAGCTACAGGTGGTTCTGAGCTGCCTGGCGTTGGTGCTGGGAAACGAACTCAGGCCCTCTGGAAAGCAGTATGTGCTGTTAGTTGCTTAGCCATCTCTCCATCTCCCAATATATATCTTTGTTATTCTTATAAAATACTCTAAAATGATATAGAAATATGCATGAATTCTCTGTGAAAAAGATAACCAATTGACTATTGAATTCAAAAAGCAAGTTATTAAATCAGCAAAAAATTTAGAATAAATAAAAAATAAATCATAATCTATATATTCTTTCATTGGTATTAGTTGAGGTATTTCACATATCGCCTTTCCTATGTTTACATAATTCCCAAGATGGAATCAGGAAACCGAACATTATTTATATATTTAGGAGAGTAAAGTTTACTCTTCAAAGGGTAAAGTTTCTTAGTGGGGATAGGAATGGGAGCGTGAGGCAAGGGGCATGGGTAGAAAGGCTGTGCTATTAGTGGTGGGTGATGTGTTAGGAGATGGGGCCTCTGATGTGTGTAGGCCACTAAGCTGCAGCCCTGCTCAACACAGTTATGTGCTTTAAAAAGGCCCATCGGTGCTAGCTTGTACAGTCTATAATGCAGAGGACCCCAAGAGAAGTTGGTAATTTATAATCTGAAGAGGTCTGGGCTGACTCCTTGATTTGGGCCTTGGAGCCTCTACAGCTATGAGAACTATTTCCGTTGCTTACAGTTAGCGCGGTGTGTTTTCTGTCCTAGCAGCCCGGAAGCACTACAACAAACATTATCTGAAAGAACTCCCAGAAGCCACTGGGACAGTTCGAGGAAGGGCTTGAATGTCAGGTTTCTGGTTTGAGGCTCATTTTTGTTCTGATCAGCTATTTGTTTTATGGTCTTCAGGCTGACCTACATACCTGCAGATCGAATCTTGTTAAGGTGTTTTCAGTAGCGGGGCATGGTGGCACACACCTTTAATCTCAGCGCTTGGGAGGCAGAGGCAGGTGTGTTTGAGAACAGCCTGGTCTACAGAGCAAGTTTTAGAGCAGCCAGGGCTACACAGAGAAACTGTCTTGATAAACAAACAAACAAAAATTGTCTTCATATATTTAGAAGGCTGCTTGATACCATGTCCATAATGGTAATTGGTTCATATAGTCCCTGTGGGGCCTATAAACTCCTTTAGCCCTGGGGTGTCCCTATGGGGCCTATAAACTCCTTTAGCCCTGGGGTGTCCCTATGGGGCCTATGAACTCCTTTAGCCCTGGGGTTTTGGCCAGGTTTACAATGGGCCTCAAGTCCAATTAGAAAGCCATTGGTTACTCACATAACATTCATGCCACTATCATACCCATGAGGTTATCTTGCCAAATCAGTCATTACTAAAGTTAACAAGGTTCACAACTGGAGAAGACTGTTGATGGGGTTAGGGATTTAGCTCAGTGGTAAAGTGCTTGAATAGCAAGCGCAAGGCCTTGGGTTCAGTCCTCAGCTCCAGTGAGGGGGGACTGTTGATAACTTGCTCCCTGGCAGCCTACATAGCACCTCTCAGAACTATGAAAGCCAGCCAGCAGGGCTAAAACTTCCTGAGCAGTATCAGTGTGATGTCTCCAAGCCCTCTGACCAGAGTGTGTAATGTCTGCAGCAACAGCCTTACTGTCAGGTTCTGCTGGGTAACTAAGAGTGATGGCGCTAACCTGCATTGTTTGGGATCCTCTGGGACTCACTCTCATGACTTATTTTATAACTTAGGGGAAGGTTAAAAAATTACCACTGTCTGGGGGACCAGCCTCCAGAAGCACAGGGCTTTAATAGGAATCTGGGGGGGGGGGTAGGGAAGAAGGCACTCACAAACTCTCTTGGTGGTTTCCTTCTTTATTCTCTCTCTCTCCTCTCAAGATGTTCTGCCGTTTTATACCCCAGCAGAATCTTCCAAGCAGTATAAGAGTCAAAATGGTTCCATTTCTCAAGTGAATGATTGTAGGTAAAAACATGTTTTTCATTTCCCTCACATGATTAAACATTTTATGTATTACAGGTGAAAGACAAATTATCCCAAAAACCCACGTACATTTATACCCAAGCAACTCGTTATAGATTAACCATGTGGCAAGAAGGGGTTCTTATCAGGTCTTTTACTGGCAGGCTGCATTTTGCAGTTACAAAGAAAGGGCCAATTACTTTATTACTTATCTTGAAAGGTGATCTTATAAGGAATCTTAAAGGAATCACAAGTCTAAACTTTTATATATGAAAAAAATCTTTAGGATGCATGCCCACTTATTAATAGTTTTTTTAATATTAGGAGATTGAGGGCAGAAATGGGTATAAGAAATTAATTATCACATTTAGTCATCGACCAAACCTAGCAAGGAGAGAACGTCAGCCAGTAATAATTGGGCTGCTTTGTTCTTGTTCCCTGACCTTATTCAACTCCACATTCAACTATGGGAGTTTCTAAGACTTTAGATTGTCTTCTTGGGTTTTTTACCTTAAAGTTATTTAACAAAAACATCTTAGTCTAACTTTGTTTATTTTCAAAGCTTTATTTCAGTTGTGATGCACTCCGAGATCTGTGAACTAACACATTTCCCGACATTAAGGTCGAAACAATTTAAACTAGTTGGGCTACTGGGACTCAGTTGTTAGCCGTTAACTTGAGCTACAATCCATACAGCTCCTTAGGTGAGATTCACAGACTCTGGTTGTGAAACATATCATTGTATTTATTTTTATTCATCAAAACTCTGTATAAGCTATCATTGTTATTTTCAAATTATCAGTACAGCTTAGAGAGGGGCCATCGTCTTGACAATTCACAGGTAGAAGTGCCCAGTAGAATGGGATGTTTCCAAGAGCTAAACACACTATATTACAGTCAGTGGAGGTCTCCCCACATCCACTCACACCATGCTAGATACCAGAGAGAGAGAGAGAGAGATTGAGAAAGATTGAGAGCTGCAACAAACGTGAAGGCACAGCTAAAGCAAAAGACATTCTGGGGTCTGCAATCCTGTGGCCTTGCTAAACAAGATTGGCCCATCAGAGGATTCCCTTCTGGTGGGCTGACACCTGGAACTTCAGTTGCAACTGGCTGCTCCTTTGTCATGGCCAACGGTAAAAAAAAATTGAAAAGGAAAGGAAAAAAGTGTTTTCAATTAGGTTTATCAATACCCAATAGTTTGTAGACATTAAGCAATAATTCAGGAATTGTGATCTCTGATAAATGGAGAGGAGTGATAAAGCTGAGATGTTTGAAAAAAAAGAAAAAAGAAGGGGAAGAAGTCAGGAAGAGTGTGAGATAAGGGAAACAGATGTATTACACCCCAAATCTCAGGTTTGATTGGATTAGAATTAAAAGATGAACCGCCAATGGTTGGTTTCTTCATTGTTGACCCGGGACATAAAGCCCAGAGAGGTTTCCTTCCTTTCGTTCACCCGGCATTTCAGAACAATTAATTGACACTAGGGCATCAAGTAAAATCCAGACTTTCACAGTTTCATGCTGGAGTGGCACGAAGGCTCTCGAGAGCTTTTATTCAGTGGGGCTGTGAGAATTAAGGAGTCCATTTGAAAGATTCCCATCAAAAACCTGAGTAGGTAACGATGAAGACTCTTGTAGGTGTGACTGTGGGTCTGCCGTACCACAGTGTGTGCTTATTCATAATAACCTGAGGTGGGCGTGTGTGACAAGGAGTGTGTCCCTAGTGTCAGTGCCTTCATATTTTTCTGTGGGGCAGGGGAGGTGGCTTCTATGGCTAAAATACTTGCCAATGCAAGTGTGAGGATCAGAGTTCAGTTCCCCAGAACCCCCATAAATGCAGGTAGTTACGGTGGCTAGCCTGCAATTCCAGCCATGAAAGACAGAGACAGGATCTCCAGAGCAAGCTGCCTAGAGAGACTAGACTTATCGACTAGCTCTGAGTTTTATTAAGAGACCCTATCTCAGAGAATAAGGAGGAAGAGCAATGAAGGATGATTCCCTGCATCTACGCTGCACACATCCGCATGTATACCCACACATGCAAACATGCACATGTGAAGAGGTTGGGGAAACAGTTCATAAATTGCAGCTAAGAGGTTGAGACAATGAGGGAGAAGAGGAATAGCAGGCCGTGGCCTTGTGAACAGGACAGAAGGAGAAAAGGGTGCCACTCTCTAAGAATCACTGGGCTCTTGAGAAGCCACGATCTTCACAATCTAGCTACAGTGAAACTTGGACAAATTCTTTCATTTTTCTATTTCTTTATATGGTCAAATACTATTTATCCTTCTTGTAATGTTCAATATCTGAAGGTCGAGAATTGGTGATGT